TTAGTTTTGATGCAAAAACGCATGATCGCACCGGCTCGCCTGGTGCGTTCCAGCCTTTGTTTTCAAAAAGTCTGCATTTGTAATTTTTTCACAAAGCGAGCATTTACCGAAAAAACGACCGGACTTTATGCAAAAAACCGGTAATCAAGCACCTGTATGTCCGTGCAGCTCTATAATGCACCACCTTCATCCCAACTGATGCCCTTCCTCCTGCATGTCAGAAAGGATCAAAACACGGCCAATATAAGCCCAAGTGTTAGGCTACAGCGTAGGGATCATTCCTGCTAATAGCGATCTGCGAGTTTAGTACAAAAAATGCATGATCGCACCGGAGAGCCTGGTGCGCTCCAGCCTGGGTTGTTTTACGCTGCGCAATGTTGATTTGTCTGTAGTAGAAGTCATTTATGGCAGAATTTTGTTACTTAGGAAATACTATTTGAAAGTGAAATTTTTTTTAGGTTTCCAGCCGCATAACCTCTGGGATTCTTGAAGGACGAGCGCAATCGCCAACCTGGTCCGTCTCCGAAGATCTGATGGATATGTGTAAAACAACAAGCACGAAGCCAACACCGGAATCTTCGAGCAGTACTGACAGCAGTGAAACCTATGTACAAACACCAGCAACGCCAGCCTTAGAATTAGAAGATTGAAAATTTTTCGTAATGTTATATTACATCATGAAAATGTAGCATTCCGGTAACATCACTAACATGGAATATCCACAATTACTGCACGAGCTCTTGTGCTATTCTTGGTGTTCAGAAACTACTTAAGGGCAAAATGATCACTTCAACAACCTCCTGTACAGGCAAACTTCTGCAGTTTACCGTAAGTAAATTTTGTGCTTAACTCAGTTCTTCGAACTTTTCCGTTCCACACAAAGGTTAGGGGCCTTTTCAAAGCACGAGCAGAATCGCTGGACAAACCGATAAATGCTCAAATTGGCCCATGCATTAGTCAAGTGTTTCAACCATGTTGCGTAAGCCGCTTTGTATGGATGCGCAGTTGCCGCCGCAAACGGTCCTGTACTGCAACAAAATCCTGAAAAATATGCAACCACTTATTTGCCTCCGAACCTCATTCGTGCTTATTCTTTCGGGAAGTTCTCTGTTGCTATTAAGACCTCTACAGCAACTGCTATGTATGCCCTGTTTGATGAATAAACGCGTCATGTGTCGTAAAGCCAGCCTAGAAATGGCGGACACAAAAAAGAGGAAAGAACGCATTTTTGCTGGCTGTAG